TACAATATTGATAATAAATACAAATAGCAAAAAACCCATAGGAAATGAGATATTTCCAAAAAAAGCGCAAAAAACCGATTTTTGTGACCTTTGACCTTGAAATTTAATAGTTGCTTACACCCTACCATATGTAGGTTTTGAGACAACTTTAAGGGTGTCAATATACAAGTATTTACAGACTTACAGCTGGGTATCTCGAATTCCGAGATTCTTACCTAATTTAAGCTTAAATGACTGGATTATAATCAAGAAAATCTTCGTCGTATTCAGGTATAACATCTAATACAGGATTCATGTGATCAGATTTTTGAAGTGAGAAGCATTTCTTGTTATCTTTTTATCTAGCCTTGACGCGGTTACCTTTGTACCACTAATTTTCTCAACAATATATGGATTGGGATCATATGGTGGGGTAAATTTATTTACATGTTTTTGTTTGCAAATTACTGGATCTCCAACATTTAATTCATGATTTTTAGTATGTAATCTTTCATCTGCATACTTTTTGAATTTCATTTTATTTTTCTCATCAATAACTTTCAAATTTCCATCTACATCTTGATTGGTAATTTCAGAAATAGTCGTATGCATGGATCGGTTGAAAAGTAGTTCAAACGGAGATTTTTCTGTAGTGAAAGGTGGAATAGCTCTATAATTCATTGAAAATGATTCTAATTCACGTATTCCAAAAACACTTTATTGTGAGATTTTCACTAATTTGTTTTACAAAAACGCAACACGAGTTTCGCCATACAATGGCTTCATCTGGCGTGTCTTTCAACTAATTCTACACATTCAATACTAAATATATATATAGTTTATGGAGTACCTGAAATCTAAGTACCTGTAAACGAAGTACCTGAATTTTAAGTAGCTGATATTTTACCTGAGTTTCTAACGAATTAAATTACCTGCACTTATGTTCCATTTTCACATTTGAAAAAATATATTCAGTAACGGAGAGTTATTGAGTTCAGTTATTGATCATTCAGTAAATTACCCGAATTCCTGAATCTATTGATTTCTAAACATTCTAGAAGATTAAGTTTCAAACTCTTCTCTTCTAAATGTAACACCTCGTACTCATGATTGAACTCATGTCCTTCTGCTAAAAGATGATTCGCAAATGTGGAATTGGTCTTTCTATTTACAAAACTACTCCTATGTTCTTTAATTCGTTGGAAAAATGTTCTTCCTGTTTGGCCAATATACCGTTTTGGACAAGAACCACAAGTCAGCTTATATTCTAATTCATCTTTAATATTTCGTCCGCTCATCACTGCACACAAAATTGTCTTCTTGATAGTTCTGACTGTTCTTTCAGCAGGCCATAAAGGGGTTACTTTATAATGTTTGAATTTGAAATGATCAACAAAATCGTCAAATTCTTGCCCATTGAAAGGTGGTCCATTGTCCGTTTTCATTTGATTGGGAATTCCAAATAGGGAGAACAAAGAAAATAGTTTAGCAATCACAGTTTTAGAGTCCACTCTTGGTATTTCATAACAAACAGGGTACCTTGAATATTCGTCAACTACAACCATGATGTATTTACCATTAGAATAGGGTCCAGCAAAATCCATGGTTAAATTTCTCCAAGGACCTGTAGGTTAAGCTGTTACCTGAATTGGATCTGCTGCTTAATACAACAGACAGGACTTTATTTCATTTTCTACTAATTAATCCATTCCAGGAAACCAAACTTTGCTTCTGAGAAGTTGTTTCGTCTTTACTATTCCCAAATGAGCTTTATGAGCTAGTTGGATAACCTGTTTGCGAAGAGTTTCTTTAATGACCAATTTTGTGTTCCTCAGAATTGTTCCATTTGCAGAAGTCAACTCATATCTAACTTTTTTGTATGGTTTTAAAACACTGGTATTCCACAAATTCTCATCAGTGTTCTCCAAAGCCTCAAATGTATGTTGGAATTCTTGGCCTCTTTTTGAAAATTTTATTACTTCTTCAAGAGAAATCGCCTTTGTAAGTGAGTTTTGAAGGATGAAGTTTATATACTCTGCAGGTTCAGATGTAGCATTTTCTACTGGTAATGGATGTCTAGATATGTAATCAGACGGATTACCTATTTATACCTTTTTGATGTTTCACCCTGAACTGGTATTGCTGAATCCAGACACAATCTTTCTATTCGGGCTGAGAATACTGATCGACGATTCTGAAGTATGCTGACAAGAGGTAAATGATCGGTATAGAGATTGAATACACTACCATATATGTAAATGTGTAAATGTTCGATTGCCCAAGTTATGGCAACCATTTCCTTCTCAATCTGACTATATCGCTCCTCTGTTTGAGATAGTGATCTACTGGCATATGCAACAATTTCAGGATCTTCATTATCTCCTTATGCGATGATAGCTCCTACTCCACAAGGACCAGCGTCGACGTACAAGTGAATTTCTTTGTGAATATCAAAATATGCAAGATGACATTCTTCACTCAGCTGACTTTTCAAAAATTTAAATGTCTCTTGATGTTTTTTTGTCCACGTCCAACATGTATTTCTCAAGATCAATGTTCGCAAATGTTTGGTGGTACTTGCTAAATTCGGAATGAATCTCCCAACATAATTAATCATACCCAAAAGACTTCTTACTTCAGATGTATTTTTCCGGGCTTCTAAGTTTTTGAACGCTGCTACTTTTGCTGGATCTGGTTTACCTAATTCCTTCATGAGAAAATACGTATCCAAAAAAAACTAGATTTTTTTGATTTAATAGACATTTCGCTTTATTAACTGTCAAACCAGATTCATTCAAACGTTGGAAAACTTTGTTCAAAGTATCATCGTGATCCTGTTGATTCTTTCCAAAAATTAAAATGTCATCACTGACATTGAACACTCCTTTAATGTTTATTAGAGTTTGACGAATGATATTTTGGAAAATTTCAGCTTCAGCATTCACACCAAAGCTAAGGTGTTTATATCTGAACAAACCAACATGTGTTGAAAAAGTAGTCACCATTCTTGATTCTTGGTCAAGTTCAAACTGATGGTATTCATCATTGAGGTCTATTTTGCTAAAAACAGCAGCACCATTGAGAGCCAATATAATATCATCCACATAGGAAAGCTAAACACACAAATTATTCTTCTATATGAATGTGATATAATTGAAGTTAGGGAGGAAATGTACTGTTTCGTCCTGTATATGTTGTTTTAGATTATTGTATGTCAAATAGACTGTGAGTTGTCACTTTACGGATTTAACTGAGAGATTGTTTAAAATGAACAAAGATTGAAAACTACTTCTACAATTTCAATCAATATTTCAACACGAATATTACAATGGTGCCCTGAAAAAAACGTGTTTCACTTCAAAACTTCAACAAAACCTTGATGAACTTACAGGTGATCCGATACTCATATTTAAAGACTTTAACTTTAATTTGAGCAAAAACATTACTAGAATGTGTGATTCTTTCAACAAATATTGTAGTAATGTAAATGTTCTCTCTATCACGTTGAATTTCTTTAAAATAACGATGATAAGTTTATTCAACGCATAGCAAAAATAATTGGTTGGTATGTACAAAATTTATTAATTCATATATTTTTATTTTTTCTTGTATCTGTTGACACCGTGTATCTCTGTAACCACTACTATCAGTGGATGCTTCTATGGATATTTACCTGTTTGTATCCCAAATTTTGGATAAATAAATACATAAATAAATAAATCTTGGACGAAGTTGTCCCAGAGGTGCCAATTGGTATTTGAAAGCTCATTATATAAAGCAGGGTAATTATAATAATATATCCCAAAGAGGTGATATTCCACTTGGTGATGGAAAGTTTCATCCAGTAAAAGAAATGTTATATCAATAAATGAAACAAGTTAAATGAAATCACTCTTTAATATCACTATAAGTAATTTTGCCATTCAGAATCTGTTGAATTTCTTCTAAAGATTTACCTTTCGTTTCCGGGACCAGGTAATTCGTGAAAATACATGATACGAGGGAGCAGCAACCAAAAAGTAAGAAAGGACCATAAAGTCCTGTGTAAGAATTGATAAAATAAAATATATAATTAGCAAAAAACACGAAGAGTCCAAATAGCGTTGTAACAACACCAACTGCTTTAGATTTGATGCTCGCGGAAAATAACTCACCCAACATCAACGTAGGAATAATAGCGACACCGAAAGATGTGAATACTATAAAAATAATCATGCCTGCTAGAGGAAACCACTGGATATTATCGATATTCAGTTCTGGGTGGTTTGACTCTATGTAAAAATAAACTGCTTCTGATAGGAGCACAATCGATGATAAACCCGAAGAAATAGTGTATGACTTCCTCCTACCGAATTTATCAGAGAAATAAGCTCCGATTGAGAACAAAACGAAGCTCAACCCTACATAAATAATTGAGGACATTTCAGAACTCAAGTTTCCTCCTGCTTTTTGAAAAATGAATTGAGTATACGAAGCAAAAACGTAAACCCCCACCAAAACTTGTGAAACGCGCAGAAAGAGTGCCGCTGTCAGAGCTTTTCTATTACTTCGAAGCATAATGAGATCTTTCCACGTGCCAGTTTCTGACATTTGCCTTCTGACTGCAGAATTCAAATCAGTTAATTCTTCTTCGACCGCATCCGTTCCTCTCAGTCGTTGAAGTGCGATTTTTGCTTCCTCCTCTCTTCCTTTCATGGCATAAAAATACGGAGACTCTGGCATCAGAGAGAAAAGAACTAGAAATATCACTGGTATCGTTAAGCAAATGAAAGATGTTTGTTGAACGCTGCAGTAAGCACCGATGACGTTCATCAGAAACTGTCCCAGAAATAATGAACAAATCAGACCATTTCCCCAGACTCCTCTGATTCTTGGTGTCGTAATCTCTCCAATGTAAGCTGGCAGAGACGCGAACAAAATCGCATCTCCCAGCCCTGCTGTGAATCTTGCTAAATTGAGAATGTACAAGTTCGTACTGAAAGCTTTCATGAGCCAGGATGACCCATGTGGAATAGCTGTCAACATCAGAGTACGTTTTCTTCCAATCATATCAGGTATCCTGAAAATTGTAAAGAATGCAGAAAGTACTACGATTCCTACATTTATCCAGATGGTGAAATAAGAAGCTTGGTCTTCACTTATATCATAGTTCTCCATGTCTTGTGTTATCTTGACAATGAAAGGTGATGGCCAGGCGGCGAACAATCCACTTGTTAAACTGGACATGCATGCTGAAACAGATTTGTTTTTAATTTATTCTCAAGTAGAACACTTAGGATTTTCTTTCATGGGTCAAATAATGTTTGATCCTGAAATAGAAACTATTATTCTACTCATGACTTGTTCACCTATGATGTTATTCCTTTCAAAGGTTGTGGAAAAAGAAAGTATAACAGACAAAGGTTAGATTAGGTTAGATGAGGTTTGGTTAGAGCAGTGGTCGCCAACCTGTCGATCGCGAGCTACCGGTAGCTCGCAGAGGCAATTTGGTAGCTCTCACAACGATTTTAATTTAAAAAATACAACCTGCAAAAATCAGAGAAGCTTCCGAAAATTCCACAAAAAAATCTAATTGTCATAATATTGAACATAAACAGCGGCAACGTTGCGGTGAGCGATCTGCCGCTGACGCCATCAAGCTAGAATCGGCTAGAACCGACCAGCCGGACCAGCGCGTTAGTGTTCGAGAACAATCTGGATTGCTTTGAACGGGATAAATACGCACGGCGCGGCGACATTGCGCTTAGTTTAAAACTGAACGCGTAACCAACGTCCAACGGTTGGGTTAGTAGAGAACAACAAAAATAATATTATGGCAAGCAGTTGTAAGAAGGTTAAGACATACCACTTTCATTCGGAATGGGAAGAACAATACTTTTTTACAGAAGTTAAAGATAAAAATGTGTGTTTGTTATGTAATACTTCGGTCTCCGTTGGTAAAAAAGGAAATATTGAGAGACATCCTAAAACTGTACATTCTAATTTTGAAAAATCATTCCCACTACATTCTGCGCCAGAAAGGAAAAGCTGAAACAGTTAAAAAAGCAGTTAATTGGACAACAAGATTAGAGCTCAAGCTTTACAAAGAAGATTATTCAGAACCTTGGCCGATGAAGTTGACTGTCAATACGGGGACTTACTCCTTCACTCTGAAGTCCAATGGTTAAGTAGAGGAAACGTTTTAATGATGTCCTATCTGGCATAGTTCGTTTTTTCAAACAACGCGATGAACCGACTCCGGAACTAGAAAATTCAATCTGGCTTAGGAACTTTGGTTTCTTTATATCAAGACTATTGACTCAGAATGATTTTGTTAATATTTCATTCCATTCCAAGAGGAATTTTTCGCTGTATAATATGTTTACATTAAATATTTATAATATTCACGTCAGAGTATTGTCTTTTGAATCATTTCGATAAAAATACTTGAGACTTACACTGCATAAGAATCAAGGAACAATTTACAATTCTTACCGATGAGAACTGCTAGAATTTGTGGCCAATCTTTTCCACCATTTTTGGATTGACCCTCAGCGATAGACATTGCACTGTTTTATCGTTAAAAGTAAGCAATTATCATTATAACAAACGCAGTTGGTATATTGTACTCATTCCATTTATAAAACTTTAATACTAGGCTATAAATGTCTGATAATGAACTAAAATGATATAGTCATGCAAGTTTCTTAAATATGTATTAGGCAATCAAGTGGTATCAAAATCTTATTACTTGCCAAGTTCATGTCAGAAGTAGAGTGAGGTTGAGGTAAAATTGTGATATGTAGATTTTCAACTCCTTTTTTCAAGTGCGATTTCAAACTTCTTGAATATTATATTAATTTATTTTCCAAAACTGAGATTCAGCCAATGATACTGGTAAACTGATAATTTTCACATTTTTCTGATGAATTCATCTTTTTTTTTATTATGTTGGTGTAATATTTGTTTCTTTTCCATATCGTCGGGTAATGAATAATGTACTTTCATGCCTTGTTGAGGCTGATTTCCACAAAACAACAACAAAATAGCAAATGTATCGATTTTGACAAAACAAAAACTTGAGCTGTCGAAATAAGAAACATTTTGAAAACTCTTTGTCCCATCAGCAGACGGAAAGATCGGTGTTTTGTTTGAGTTTTTGTAAACAGAGTTCGATATAGATAGTTCAATCTGTTTAAACTGTTTTTTCCGTTAATCAGCTGCCGCCTCCATACGAACGACAACTCTCAGAAGTTGAGCTAAGGACTAACGAGGTCTTACCTTTTAACGTGTGATTCCTAACACGATAGATAGATTTATTTCATTTGACTACATTATGTAAAAAAAATATTTGTAGTAAGTCATGTCATTCATTATACAATGTAAAACTAGGAAGACTGTGTCAGTTTATAGTATAAGTTCCTTCAAAATATGAATTATATTGATAAATCATACATATAGGTATGCCCCGCCATATATACAGGCCAAACTGGGAGAAATTTTGATACAAGGTACCACGAACATGTCATTTCGGATAAAAAATCATTAATGTACGAACATCTTCAAAATTCGAAACATAAAATAGATAAAGATAATTTAAAGATCCTACACACATGCGAAAAAGGAAAAATGATGAATCTGTTCGAATCTATGGAAATAAACAGGTCAAAGAAAAATCCCAATTCTATTGTCCTCAACGAACAACTTGATTTAAATAATAGTCCTCTCCTGAACCTATAATCCAGATCTCAAAACCTACATTATATTGAAATCTTTGTTATGTTCATGAATTTTACAGGTATATGAAACGCAGGTACCGGGTATCAGGTATATCAGGTATATCAAATCATTTATGATAGAATAAGCAACATAGGTATAAATTACTCAGATTTAAATGTAATCAGTTAGTTTTGAAAATGGTGTAATAGCCGAAACCGGTCAACAATAAAGTAGTGTATCCTCAGTGAACATGAATTTCCACAAAATAAACAAGTCGTCAATCGAAGAAGCAATATGTTGTCAATGCAGGTTGCTGATCAATCAGTCACCCTAGTATTTTCTGTCATATTTGCAATTAAACCGAATGTTGCCATCAAAGATGCAAGATCGTTATAATTTTTTGATTTCTTGAGAAAATCAATATTGAAATCTACCATAATTATAATTTTATCGAAAGAGCTAGAAACTTTCATGAGCAATTGTTCGAATTTGTCGAAGAAAATGGTAATGTCTCCATTACATGATCGGTATACTGTTCCTACTAAGGTTTTTGTCGAGAGAATCTCAATTGCGCAAAATTCGGCATGGTAAGCTATACAGAATTCGTTCACCTCGATGTATTTAACATTGAATTTTTTTTTTCAAATGGCAACCCCTCCGTGTTTGTTCATATCTCGACAGAAAAAGGAGGCTAGCTCATACCCTTTTATATTTACTGTCTGAATTTGTGCTTGATCAAGCCAATGTTCGGAAATGCATAGTAGCTTTCATCCTCAAGAAATAATGAAAGATGGTCAATCTTATTTGAAATACACTGTATATTGATATTCAGGACACTTACATTTTTTTTTGACTATTACTTGACTTTTCTACATTTTCTACGTTTTTTGGTCCATCTCTTCCTTGGTTTGAAAATTTTTTGGGAATCTGAATCTTCGAAAAGGTCTGCGACAACAACAAGCAACTGTTTCTGATATAGCATCTCAGTAGATCATATTTTGTTTCAAATAACTATAGACCAATCGCTTTGCTATCAGCGATATCAAATACCATGGAGAAGTCGCGAACCACTAAGTATATCCCCAATTATTTGGAAGGCTTCAACATCTTGAGCGATCATCAATATGGCTTTCGTATGTCACCCATATTTGGAATCACGCAATCGGGAAACATGGAGAATCAAGAGCTGTTGCGCTTGATATTTCCAAGGCCTTTGACCGTGTGTGGCATTAGGTTTTGCTGGCCAAACTTCGATGATAGGGTTTGTCGGATAATTTTCTGTATGGCTCTCCAGCTTCCTGAAAAAACGTTTCCTGCAAAAGGCCGTCGATAGATATCTTTCTAATACTTTCACCATCAACGCTGTGTTCCCCAGAGATCCATATTGTCTCCAACTCTCTTTTCGTTGTATATCAATGACTTATTTGAAAAAAAAACAAGAATCCAATATATTGCTTCGCAGACGACAGCACACTTATCCCGTCACATCTTTACCGGTAGCAGGAGTTTGCATATCTCAATGAGGATCTAGAAGTGATTTCAAATTGTGTTGAAAGTAACCAGGTTCAATTCAATGCCCCAAAAACCCAGGCATCAGTTTTCTCCTCCAAGAAGATGAATGTCTACGAATGTCACGTCAGAATATTTCGCTATTTGCTTCTATAAGTTTGTTGGGGGTTAAAATGGATATTAATATATCTTGGCACAATCATGTCGCTATAATTGCAAAGGCTGCTTCTCAAAAACTTGGAACACTGTTCCGAACCAGAAAACTATACACAACTCAGCAACTTTTGATGATTTTCAATCTACAGCGATTCAAATCCATTGTGAATCGCTACTATCGCACAGACACTGCTCTAAGAGCGCCTCAAGGATTTTCCTAAGCCACGGTAATAGAAGAAAACAATGAGGAACACCTTGGCAGTTATTCGAAATTGCCGAGATTTTCGGTCTTGGCTCTCCTCGGCTCTTCCATTGGGACGATTGGACTTTGGTTTCGAAGTCACTGCCATGTAATAATGATTTGTCACCAGTGATTATCTTTTCAAGCAAATCTGAATCGCCGTTGACGTCGTTCAACAATTTCGGAGCGATGCTCATGCAACGGTTTTTTTAGTAAAAATTCAGCAATTTTGGATCCATCTTCGCTGCCACAGGATTCATGCTCAAAATTTTCGAAAATTTGCATGGAATGAGCCTACTAATATGCCAATATCCACAGTTACTCCTTCAGTGATGATTTGACGATTTTCTATAACAATTTTATTTACTTCCTCAACATTTTCATCGGTTGGTAATGTTTTCACATATAGTCAGTAGGCATACTTTCTTTCATATGTGAAAGTTTTCTTTTCTCATACGAGGAATTGGGCAAATTTCGGATATTCAGTTGGTTACCTCGTTCACAGACAGATGGGGCGACGACAAACCTGTTGTTTGTTGTAGTCTTCAGCTTAGTTCGAGGAATGATACTCTGACGGAATTCGATTTTCAATTATCGGAAATCATCGACTTTATGTTGATGATATACACTACCTTGCACTGACGAGTGGCCAAACAGCCCGAAACCGGTCTGCAAGTGTGTTCCAATAATTGAGAATCTATTGCGGCAGTTGTATCGCCAACAGCATATGCAGGAATAACTTCTGTGAAGATTCCTGCACTGACGTCTGTCGGATATAATCCAACGCCCTTCGTGGTATTAGCCAGGGGAGTAGTTTTTTTCTGATAGGTGTCAGTCCATTAAGCTACTGTGTAGGGTGTTGCGACTGGCTTGAACGGATTGTTCTTAGATAATTTGGTTGGTAATGTGCTGGAGCGCCCAAAGCGAGCGCCGTCACTTACAGCTTCTCCACCTTCTGTGAAGAGCTTGAACCAATTGTAAACATTTTTCTGCCTCAGAGTACAATCACCGTATGCCACTGTCAATATTTCAAGTATTTTTGAGCACTCAATTCCATTTTTCCCACCTGATTTGATGCAAATTTTTTTATCCATTTTTTTCGATAGCAGAAAATCGCTGAACACGAAAAAACCTTCAATGCTTCTCACCAGCAAACTGAACATATTAAACGGCTAGAAATGTGAATATATTTCTGTTGTGAAAAGATGCCCAGAACTTTTGAGGGGGTCATCTGTCAGTTTGTGTTCAATATTTTTAAAATATGCCGACTATGCGTCTGAGCCTGCAAAATTCATCATAATGATAATTATAACCAGTGCTTTTGTACATTTCGTGTCTTTTAGCTAGTATTCAAAGTAATTCAATCCATCAACGTATATACCAAACCAAGTAAACATGTGTGAGCACTTGAATTTTCATAAAACTTATTGATTATTGAAGTTATCACCACTATCATTGATACCATCTTGGACAAAGTTGTCCAAGAGGTGTCTATCGGTATTTGAAAGCTCATTATATAAAGCAGGGTAATAACACACATCGGAAAAGTCTAGGGATATTTTTAAAAGTGGCAATAATTTTTTTTTAGATCGCTTTAGGGAAAAAAATGTTGACGGGTGATTATTAAACGAATGTAACTTACAACAAAATTTATTAAATGGTCGAAAATACTGAGTGCGCATATAAGCAAAACTAAAAAAAAATATGGCCCTTCTTTGGCACCCCGAAAAAAAAATCATAATATAAAAAAAATTGGAATCAGTACAAAGTATGGCCTCCACGCTGGTTTATTACGGCCCTACATCTATCGTGCATCGACAAAATGAGATTGCCAATGTCTTGTTGAGGTACATTTGCCCATTCAGCGATTAAAAGCTCTCTCAATTGAAACGTTGTGTGAATGTTCCGCATATGCGGAGTAATTCTTCGTTGAAGCATGTCCCACACATGCTCGATGGGATTCAGGTCCGGTGATTATGCTGGCCATGGCAATAAATCAACTCTTTCGTTGGTGAGCCCGTCAGTCACTAGACGCGCGACATGTGGACGAGCATTATCGTGCATTAGGTGGAAGTTTTCACCAACAGCACCAGCAAACGGACGGACGATAGGTAGAAGAATGGTGTCGAGGTACTGTCGAGGTGTGAGGGAGCGATTTGGAAAAACGAGATCGGTTCTGCTGCCGATCATGATTCCGCCCCATAGAATTACTGTACCACCTCTGTATGTGTGGACTTCCTGGACGTGCCTCAAACGTTCATTATTTCCAGGTCGTCTCCACAGTCTTACTCGACGAGAATCTGGATGAAATCCAAATCTGGATTCGTCTGTAAACAAAACTGTGGCCCAATCATTTGCATCCCAATTTTGATGTTCTTGACACCACTCTAATCTTCTACCGCGATTGCCTCTCGACAAAGGTGGACATCTAAGTAGCCTTCTGTTGTGGGAATCTGCTTCATGCAGTCGATTTCTGACAGTATCACGACCAATGGTTACCTGGTGCGTCTGCTGCAACACATTAACCAACTCAGGTGCTGTGATTGTCGGTTGTCTTCTTGCGGTTAAGACCAAAAATCGGTCTTGAACTGCAGTTGTAGCGCGTCCTCGCCCTGGATGTTGTTCGGCTGGACTGCCAGTTTCACGGAAACGCCGCCACAATCGACTGATAACACTTTGGGAGACCCCCAAACGAAGAGCTACATCATTTTGTCGCATGCCACCTTGAAGAAGCCCTACAGCTCTATTCATCTCAGCCAATGGTAAGTGATGGCGTTCCATGTTAAAGCACAATATTTCCAGTTTAATTGCTGAGCAAGAACTGCATAGAATGTACAAACTCGACACTTTCAGATTATTCATTTTAGCCGAAAACCTAAAAAACCTATAAAAAACTTGATAAAAGATTAGTTTCCGTTTTTGCAGGCTTTGTTTAACCCATAGAAATCTACAAGGTGGTCGAGTGTACCAATTTAATCGAAATTAAACCACCTCATGCATTTATTTTTATGATATTTAGTATGTTATAAAAATATCCCTAGACTTTTCCGATGTGTTTATATTAAGATATCCCAAAGAGATGATATTCCACTTGGTAATGAAAGGTTTCATCCAGTAAGGAAAATGTTGTATCAATAAAAAAACAGTCAAATAACATCACTCTTTAATATCACTACAAGTAACTTTGCTATTCAGAATCTGTTGAATTTCTTCTAAAGATTTACCTTTCGTTTCGGGAACCAGGTAAATCGTCAAAATAGATGATATGACGGAGCAGCAACCAAAAAGTAAGAAAGGACCGTAAAGTCCCGTGTAAGAGTTGATGAAATAAAATATATAGTTAGCAAGAAACACGAAGAGTCCAAAAAGTGTTGTAACAGCACCAACTCCTTTAGATTTGATGCTCGCGGAAAATAACTCACCCAACATCAACGTAGGAATAATAGCGACACCGAAAGATGTGAATACTATAAAAACAATCATGCCTGCTAGAGGAAACCACTGGATAGTATCGATATTCAGTTCTGGGTGGTTTGACTCTATGTAAAAATAAACTGCTTCTGATAAGAGCACAATCGATGATAAACCCGAAGAAATAGCATATGACTTCCTCCTACCGAATTTATCAGAGAAATAAGCTCCGATTGAGAACAAAACGAAGCTCAACCCTACATAAATAATTGAGGACATTTCAGAACTCAAATTTCCTCCCGCTTTTTGAAAAATGAATTGAGTATACGAAGCAAAAACGTAAACCCCCACCAAAACTTGTGAGATGCGCAGAAAGAGTGCCGCTGTCAAAGCTTTTCTATTACTTCGAAGCATAATGAGATCTTTCCACGTGCCGGTTTCTGACATTTACCTTCTGACTGCAGAATTCAAATTAGTTAATTCTTCTTCGACCGCATCCGTTCCTCTCAGTCGTTGAAGTGCGATTTTTGCTTCCTCCTCTCTTCCTTTCATGGCATAAAAATACGGAGACTCTGGCATCAGAGAGAAAAGAACTAGAAATATCACTGGTATCGTTAAGAAAATGAAAGATGTTTGTTGAACGCTGCAGTAAGCACCGATGACGTTCATCAGAAACTGTCCCAGAAATAAAGAGCAAATCAGAGCATTTCCCCAGACTCCTCTGATTCTTGGTGTCGTAATCTCTCCAATGTAAGCTGGCAGAGAGGCGAACAAAATCGCATCTCCCAGCCCTGCTGTGAATCTTGCTAAATTGAGTACGTACAAGTTCGTACTGAAAGCTTTCATGAGCCAGGATGACCCATGTGGAATAGCTGTCAACATCAGGGTTCGTTTTCTTCCAATCAAATCGGTTATGCTGAAAATTGTGAAGAATGGAGAAAGCACTACGATTCCTACATTTATCCAGATGGTGAAATAAGAAGCTTGGTCTTCACTTATAGCATAGTTCTCCTTATCTTGGGTGATCTTGACAATAAAAGGCGATGGCCAAGCGACGAACATTCCACTTGTCAAACTGGACATGCATGCTGAAACAGATTAGTTTTTATTCGTTTATTCTCTAATAGAACAGTTAGGATTTTCTTCAGAAGAAATATCGCACGACATGAAAGAAGTGAATTTCACAAAACAAAACAGTGAATCGAAAATTGTAAAAAAATTCGGAAAAATAGGTTTCATTGATGTTGGGTATGCAAAAGAGATCAAATAAACAATGATCTTTCAATTTCATTTCATTCAATAATGCATAATTAAACTGAGTTCACTCTTCCTCTTGAAGATGATCACTTGGTAACCGAAACACGTTTCGAGGTGTTGAAATAACACTTTGGTGTTGGGATAAAACTCCAGTAATATTCATTTCTACCCCCAAGGTTCCAAACAGTGCATGGCAAGGACACATATCAACTTATTTGATTGTTCTTCAGCTCAGGATTTAATTCAGGACCACCAACATGATAATAATAAAGTAAAACAATAATAATGATGATGCATATAGAGAACACTCCTAAGTTGGACAATATTATATTAACAATGTAATAGTACTAATACTTATTGTTGTGAATTGTGAATAAAAGTTTCTCTATCATTCTAAGTACAATAATGGATATCAGTTTCTTCGATGATTTCCATGAATAAACAGGGAGACCCACAGAAACCTAGGTTGTGCGTGGGATTTTTTTCCTGTTTATTCATAAATTTTGTTGTTTAATGTAGAGGTATTTCATAATTTTTCCAATATTGTAGTCAACATAGGGGAAATAACCCTTTAATTTTCAACTAATTGTTCTGTACTCTTAATATATCGTGAATTACTTTTCTGTCTAAATTAAATGTGTACGATTTTAGTTTTTTTCTGATTAAAGTGATAGAGTTGATGTGAGTGATGAGATCCTTTAAACTTGTATGTAAGAAGTTGAAAACCCGAGGTGCGAGGTAAGTATAACATCGTTGTCCTACCGCTTTTTTTGAGGATTTCGTACGAATATCAGAATTGCTTTTTTGTCTTGTTGTGTATTTATGTTCTACTATTTTCAGTTCGTGTTTGTTTCTGTATAGGTTAACTAAAATGCTATAAGATAATGATTGTTTCAAATCGAAGCATTTAGATTCTTTATATAATTCGTCTGTAGGATACCTATATGATCTCTTGAATATTATTTTTAGGAATCTTTTTTGCAAAATTTAAATTTTTTTAGGTCGAAATCTGCTATGCCTCCCCACCCTAATATCCCATATGTAATCTTGATTCTATTAATGCGTGGTACAGAACCTTCATATGGTGAGTATTTAATATTTTCACCAAATATTTGAATTTTGGGAGCATGTACCTTAGAGTATTAACGATATTCTGAGCGTGTATATCCCATCTCAAGTGTCGATCTAATGTTATTCCCAAATATTTAAAACTAATTGTGGAATGTATAAGTTCGATTGTATCATTTCTTTGAATTAAAATCGTTTCATACTGAGGTAAATTGTTTTTGTAGATGGCAAATGGCATAAACTTGGTCTTGTCATAGTTTACTGTGAGGTAATTCTGGTCGAACCATTTCAACACACTTTCAAAATCTAACTCGATTTTGCTTTTCAGGTTGTTCCATGAATCATCTTTGTATAACACAACTGTGTCGTCAGCAAAGCTGTACATTTCTCCTCCACACTTCAGGGTAAATAGTTTATTCACATAAATAGTGAAGAGAATGGGTCCTAAGACGGTACCTTGTGGTACTCCACATGTGATTATCTGTTGAGTGCTTATTTTGTCTTTAATTTGTACTGACTGTTTCCTATTTGATAAGTAATTTCTGAATAATTTGAGCACGATACCCCTAAATTCTAATTCCTCCAAGGCAGGTTTAACAATGCTCAGTTTGAAGTGTGAAGGACAAATTCCAGTAGAGAATATTCTATTGATCAGATGTGCCAATGGAGTTGAGACTTCTGATATTCTTTTGAGCGTTTCGGCGGTGATCGAATCGTACCCGGGAGTTTTTCCATTTTTTAGTGAATCAATTGTTGTCTTGATTTCTTGTTTCGTAGTGGGTGTCAGAAAGAACGAATTTGGGACTGGTTCTCTTTCAGGTGTGGGTTCAAGTGAAGGTGTTATATTTTCTGCTAGAGTTTTCCCTACATTAATGAAATAGTTGTTGAAGATTTCAGTCATCTCCTGTTCATCTTCGACTATATTTTTGTTTTTTGATTCAATTTTTGATATCTCTTGTTTTGGATGGGATTCACAGTGTTCCATAATGTTTTCGTGTTATTTTTATTTTTTTCTATCTTTTTGACATAGTACTTTTTTGTAGTTTCTATCAGCCTGTTCAGTTGATTTTTGTATGTTACATATTCTTTTTTGTACTGTTCGGGATTTTTAATATATTTTTTATATAATTTTTCTTTGGTATTTATAGATTTTACTAGGCCCTCTGTTATCCAAATTTTCCTTTTGATTAATTTTCTCTTGATTTTAATTTTTTTAGTGTGCTTTTCTATAATTTTTCTGTAAAAAGTGTCATCGCTTCTTCAATTCTTGTTTCATTATATACGGTTAACCAGTTTGTTTCTCTCAGTTCCTATTTCAGTTCAGGATAGTTTATGTATTTCTTACAATCCACGCTTTGCTTTTTTTCAGTTATTTTCAAACATGTATTCTGAGATGTTCACATTAAATATTCATAAAATTCACATCAGAATATATAATGTCTTTGAATTATTTCGATAAGAATACTTGAGACTTGCGTTGCGAACCTAGAAACAATTTACAATTCTTACCGATGAGAACTGCTAAAATTTGTGGCCAATCTCTTCCACCAGTTTTGGATTGACCCTTATCTACAGACATTTTCACTCGTCAAATCACTGTTCAACCACTAAAAGTAAGTATTCATCTTTATGCCAAAACGCAATTGATGTATTGTACTCATTGCTTATACATAACTTTAATACTGGGCTATAAATGACTGATAAGGAACTAAAAATGATGGAGTCATGCAAAAGTTATGTAAATATGTATTGGGCAATCTGATGGTATCAAAATCTCATTGCGTGAAGGTTCTTACACACGCACGAGTTCATGTCAGAAGTAGAAAATCAGGTTGAGGTGAAATTGAAAGATTCAATCTTCCAACTCCCTTTTTTCAGTCAGATTACGCACTTCTAGAATTTCATATTAATTTTATTTTCCAAAACTAATATTCAGCCAATAATAACCAAATAAGTAATACCCGTACTTATAATTTTCACATTTTTTCAATGGATTCTTGGTTTCTTTAATTATGTTTAGGAAATACTCGTTTCTTTTCCGTGTCATTGGGTAATGTATGATGTACTTTCATGTCTTCTTAAGGCGGATCTCCATCAAACGGACAAAACAGCAACTATGCCGATTTTGACAAAACAACAGAGTATTAGTTGCCTCCAACTGACAACTACGAATTGCCTTATAAAGTACTGTTCCCGAGTAGAGAGGACTGGATCCTTCGGGAAAAGAGTATATTAAGAGCAGATAGTTGTTGGTTCACAGATGGATCAAAAACACCTTCCGTTTCTGGTATAGTTCAAGTGAAAGATATAGTGCCCCCTACCTTCCAGCAGTTTCCCTTCAATAAAATAGTTAGGGAGCTAACTAATTTTGTTATTCAATAATCATTTCTGATTATATAAGAATCACAATAACTACATATGAAACTCACCGTACTCAAACTTCCTAATAGCCCAACAATAGCATCCAAATCAATGCCTCCGTCTGGCTAAAATACAAATTGACACTACAGCATTCATATATCAACTCACTGAAATGTATTTACCCTACTCAAACCTCCCAGAAATGCTGATAAAAGTCCAGTTATCATATTTCCATTCCCTTCATCACTGCCATCTTCTTGAGATTCTTTTTCTCTACTTGCAAATTCGGGATCATCTTCAGTGTCATTCTGTTCCTGTCTGGGAAATCTACCCATTCCATTGATGGTGTTTGTACTATTGTTTAAGGTCATGACGAATTCAATAATTCTGTTAGTTTCTGTTGTGTTGGTATCATTAGGAGATTTGCTTGTCATACTCAGTTCTGGTTGTTCTGTGAGGTGAGGAGTTGTGACTGTTGATGATAATTCTGAGAGCTACACAACATAATAAAATCAATAAAATATGCATGATANTTATTTTATAGATCTGTAGAAGGTAACAATTCTAAATAATAAAAAACTATTTGAAATATAAATTGTCCTTCCCAAAATAAAATATTCAAACAAAATTAGTTTTCACCATATTTTAATTATCTTCTCATCATACAGAATATATCGATGGAAAATTTATATTAATACCCCCAGTCCGACGCTTATTAATATTATCTCAAACGTAATATCAGAAAAAACATGGAGCCGTTCTTTTGGCGGTATTTTCGCATTCTTTATCGGTGTTTTCGCGTTCTTTGTCGCATATCCCTATTTTAATGGCTCGTTAGCGGCGTCCTCAAGGGATATAGAGGGTAGACATATCTTAATGATTTTGTGGGTGAATTGCAGTGCTATTTGCTTAAGACGACTATGTTGTTTCCTTTGATATAACGACATGTTTGCATTCTTGAAATTCTTTATTTAAAAATTCATATAATAAATATTTTGAACATCTAAGAATAAAGTCTTGTAAATAAATCACACTCTACATACTACAGTCTTATAGAAAAAAAACAAACTGGTAAACACATCAACGAGTATTTATTCGGTTGATTTTTCCTTAAAAACGATTGTTTAATATTTCTTCGCTTTTAAACTGTCGGCTCCTATATTGTTGAAGTCTCATAGTAATTGTCCTGTAGTCATGTGAGTCTCGATTCTCTTGTCCATTGACGTCTTTTTTTTGATGGTACACACAAAAACAGCATTTCCTATACAGGGTGATTCAAAAGTACTTTGACAAACTTCAGGAGGTGATTCCTCACAATATTCTAATATGAATTGTCCAAATAAATAAATGTCCGGAAACGCTTCGTTTCCAAGATACAGGATGTTGAAGTTTTATTTTTATTTTCGTTTTTTTCAAATAACTTTTGGAATACTGAACTTAATTAAACGAAACTTGGTAATAGGAGGTTTTTGAGGTGTCGAATTCGAACCTGATGTTCTTATTGCTCTTACTCGTAGGGGGCGCCACCTACACGTCTTTTTCTTTTTTAAAGATTCATAACTTTT